CCGCGACAGGCTATTCCTCAAACCTTCCACATGTACACGTAGCTGAATGAACTCGGTTTCGAAGCCACACAATTTCTGTAATGGACACATGGTTTTATATATATACAGAGAGAGAGAGGGAAAGAGTCCGGATAGCTCAGTCAGTATAGCGACGGGTTACGGGCTGGACGACTCGGTTTCGATTCTCGGCTGTGCAAAGTTCATCTCTTTTCCACAGTGTCCAGACCAGATCTGCAGCCCACCCAATTTCCAATACAATGGGTGCTGGGGTTTCTCTCCCCCGGGTTAAAGTGGTAGGGGTGTGAAGCTCACCATTCACCTCCGTCTAGTGGCGAGGTCAAGAAGGGTGGAGATATACCTCCACTCCCCCATATATTTTCATGGTGTGGTGCTTAACTAATTAAGCACAGGGGCAACTTCATCTTATCTGTATACATACACATGCAATTCGTTTTTTTCATAGATCAACTGAGCTTCAAATAGACCAGATAATAAACAACGACATCTTGAATGTTGCCATTTTTATTACAATTTCCAAACCCTGTGAAAACTCATTACATCCCCCCCATCCGTCCTTCTGTCTGTCTGTAGTAACGCTAAACAAAGGTGAATAAAACCTTTGGGGAACCACACTAACAACTCTCGTTACATTTTACATAAAGACATGGATATATTCCTGTGTGTATCTCGAGACTAACTCGCTGAATATTTCTTGGATTATCTCCCATCGCTTGGAGATCCCCACTATTCGGTTCCGAACTGTAATAAATGTAGGTGGCCATTATACAGTTAATAGCCACGTGTAGTTAGTTAATTAGAGAGGGTGGGTTTCCCCATGCACCGCGACCAGTTTGATCTATTGTGCTTCCCTCTGGTGATATTCTACCAGTCTCTATACCCTACCGATACTGGTGCTTACCATCAGTCCCGACCGAGCCAGCGAGTTCGGCCTCTACTGGCTTGGCGGTATCTATAATGCTTCCCCCATCTATCAGAGGCGTTAGAGACTACTGTTGGGCGGGAAATGTCCTTGAATTTGGCTCAGTGACCTCCTTAGGAGATATGAGGTTCTTTTACGTGCCGTAAATCTACGACACGGGAACCACGGCTTAAAGTCCCTCCCGGAGGACTTGTTCCCTGAATTTTTCCGCCCTTAAAAATTCCACGACCTCCGCCGGGTTTGAACCCGCGTACTACGAGTCATGAGGTGGGAACGCTACCTCTAGACTACGGAGGCCGCTTATAGCCATGTTGCAGTGGCAAGAATTTTGTTTAACCTATTGGTGAATTTGAGTAATGTTTAGCTTGGTACATGCACGCATGTCTCTCCCACAAAACTTACGGCTGGATAAGGAAGTCTTTGTCTTCGTACATTTGTCCTAGCATTCGTGGAACTTCCCACTAGAAAGGGACGCCCTTCGTCCGTCGCCCTGGCCACTGCCTGTAAGAGGCAGCACGTTTCCCGCTTTCACTGAGGAAGTATGGCTCACCGCGCACTTCGTACTAGGCACTTTCTACATTATTTACTCGTTTAGCAAAGTCAGTCTCAAGAAAGGTATGTAATAACAATATTCATGCCTACATCATTAGGTTCTATAGTACGTATTTGTAACGTCTCTCATTTGGCCAATGTTTCGCGCCATGTTCTTCCTCATGAACCAGCCCCAAGTTCTTTCTGACCCCGTTGCTGTTATTTGTCTCAAGACGCTGTCGGTTGCTCATACGGTGGTCCAGTTCGACGCATTATCCCGTCATTTTATTGGAGGAACCGAGGTAAACCACGAAAACCTCAGTCAGGGCAGTCGGTATCGTATCCGAGATTCGAACTGAAGACCTCACGAACATAACATGGCCGTCTTTGGAAAGGTCTCCTTAAGTCCCTATAATTTTTAGTTTATGTTGACAAGCAAGTTTTGTAAGTTTGCCGTCGTGAATTTTGTTAAGATACTAAAGAATTTCTGATAGGAACTGTCACTTTTCTGCGCAACGGATCCCCACGGCCATTAATCACTGCTTTCTAGACCGGAGCCGCTATTTCCTTGAAATAGCTCCTCAGTTATCCTCACGAGGCGGAGTGGATCCAGTTCGAGACCCACTACTTCTCAGAAAATCTGGTAGAGCCGGGAATTGAACCCGCGACCTCTGGATCTGTAGCCAGAAACTCTGTCCACTAGACCAGAGAGGCGGTCTCATGTGGTCTTGTATACATTTATTTTTGTAAGATTTCGAATTATATCTGGTCAAAACATGGATTGTCTCAGCTTTGTACATCACTTAGGAAATTAACGATAGTGTAGTCGGTATAGCGACTGGCTGTGAGCTGGACGACTGATGGGTCGGAGTTCGAGTCCCGGTAGGGTCAAGAACTTTCTATTCTTCACGTCGTCCAGACCGCCTCTGGGGTTCACCCAACCTATCAAATTTGTATCGGGGGTTCTTTCCAGGGGATAAGGAGGCCGGGGCGTGAAGCTCACCATTCATTTGCAGCTAATGCCGAGGTCAAGAAAATGTGGATCTACTCGTATACGCCCTACCCCCCATACGCCTTCATAGCGTAGTGCTTAATTAGTTATGCTCAGGGACATCTTACTTGATTTCATATTTCGCTTCCATACATCTACACGTGCCCCTTTTGCGTCCGTGAGCGCATAGTCTGTGACCACTCCCGCCAGCAGAACGCTGTTTCGGCAAATTTTTGGACAAATTCTGGCTACAAGTTAACTGCAGTCAAAACTTCGACAAACAGAAGCCGCAAGTCTTTGAGATGAATAAGTTACTGCAGTATTCTGTTTCTTTGAGTGAGCAGAGCGCGGTGCTGTTGTACTGCATATCGCTACTTGGATCAAGAGGTTGTACTTCCACAAATTGGACTTCTTCTGGAGCTTCCGGTCAGCCACTCACAAAATTCACGTGCTCAAACTTCTTGAACTGAAAGACGCGGACTAACTGAAAACTTTTACTAATGAGCGCTAGAAATTTGGAAGGGTAAATCTGAAGATATATTTATGTGATAGTTACAAAACCACTTGCTTTCCAGAAGTTAAGGACAAGGTAAATTGCTGAAAATGTATTCTGAACATTATCGAGTAGAGATAAACTATCTATGCTGAACCTCCAGTATTAAAATTAGGCAATTTATGCCTGTAATTATTTAATGATCTGTATTTACACTCAGATATTACAAGTCTATGGAAACAATGGGGGGGGGCACGCATTAGCGTAGTTGGTTGAGGCATTATGCTACAATCCGGAAGGTCGCGGAATCGAATCCCGATGAGGTGGGTTATTTTTTCAATTGACCTAATTCTTCCAGCCGCACTATGGGCCTGGGGTCGACTCAGCCTCTAACAGAAATACGAGTAAGTACCAGGAATATTCCTGGGGGGAAAAGGGCGGCCGGCTCGTAAGGCTGATAACCTCACCGCCATCTGTGAGCCGATTGTCTAGATAATGTGGGAGCCTCGACGTCTCACAATCCTATGGGCATTCACGGCCTGTTACAGATATACCTTTACATTTTACCTTTATGGAGGCAAGGTTATGAGGTGAAGATATAAAATTTGACTGACACTTGTATCCTTATGCTTGTGTTTAACACGAGTTTATTTTAATAGCAGCAGAAGACTCTCTCTACATTTTCGTGCATCAGTTAGTTGCAATTCAATAAGATACAACAGGGGAAAAATGTACACCCAAGACAAAGTAACGACTTTCTATGGCAAAGAAACAACGTGAGGAACAGTGATCTATAACCATGTTATAGGAAAAGAAAAAAGAACAGACTAAAAAATGTAATGACAAAAATATATATCTTGAAAACAAGACACACCGACTGAATGCAGGAAAACGAAACGGATTTTAATATAGAAACAAGTTTTGGGAACAATTAATAGCCTACTTTCGTTTCACTACATTTTGAGTGTCCGATATGATACGGATCGCATAACAATCCCACTACTGTTGCGTGTGTATTCGTTGCTGAGGTAACGTGTTTATTGAGCCGTTTCCTGGAAACTTTAGGGGGAAACACAGACAGCAATGTGATCCCATAAAAACTCCGTGGCTTTAGTCTGCAAGCGAACTATGCCGACCGAGCGACCGCCGCTTGTCGGCGAAGTTAGTACCAACTTTAGCGGATAGCGTGTCGCGTGGTCAGGGCAACGCATCCCCACGGCCGTTAACTTCGACTTTCTAGGCCGGAGATCTCGAAAAACCATCTTTTAATTTTTTAAAAATAAGGAAAGTAGGCTAACGAAGAAAGTCGTACACGAATGTAATAATTATTGGGTTTCTCTAAGACGTGTGCAGTAAATGCTGGACACAGACCTAACCACCAACTTCACACACGAATTGAAGAGGCAGAGGCGCGTTTTTTTTTTAGTTGAGTGGTAGGCCACTTCCGGGTGTACAAAATGGTCGTGAAGATATGAGACAGGAGCCTAATGTATTCGGTTTACTCGTGAAGTTCCTCTTTCGTCTATAATGCAACACAGTTCATATATTAGATGACAATAAATTTGTATTCAGCTCACTAAAATGTCGTTAATATATATATTCTATGTCTGGAGGCGACCGCCTCTGTGGTCTAGTGCTCAGAGTTCCTCGCTGCAGATCCAGAGGTCCCGGGTTGGATTCCCGGCGCTACCAGATTTTTTCCTGAGAAGTAGTGGGTCTGGAACGGAGTCCACTCAGCCTCGTGAAGATAACTGAGGAGTTATTTCAAGGAAATAGCGGTTCCGGTCTAGAAAAGCGAGATTAACGGCCGTGGGGATTCGTTGTGCTGACCACGCGACACCCTCTATCCGCAACTTCGCCGACAAGCGGCTGTCGCTCGGTCGGTATAATTCTTTTGCGGACTAAAATCACGGATTCCCCCCCCCCTATTACTTCTCCTAAGAGTTGTGTGTAAGGTGAACGACGTAGTACAAGTTTCTGAACTAAATAAGTTATCTCAATTAACATGCAGCTTAATTAATGTAACTGGGGGATATCCTTTGCAGGTCGCCGTAAGCTGCTGTTGGAACGCTGCCTATATCAAGAAATGGATGAAGCAATGACAAGCGAAATGTCTAAACCAAATCCTATAGAAGAGTACAAAACTGAATATGGGGAAGCCATCGGCGTTCCTAACTTCGTCCCAAGCATGGACAATATTCCGAACGACTCAAAGGTATTCTCTTTGTGGAGGAAACTGCCTCTTCTATTTAGTTTGACACTGTAATTTGATAAACTTAAGCTAAACGCCTAAAGTTTCGACAGCCTCTGTGGTCTAGTCGTCAGAGTTCCTGGCTACAGATTCAGAGGTCCCAGGTTCGATTCCCGGCGCTACTAGATTTTCTGACAAGTAATGGGTCTGGAACGGACTCCACTCAGCCTCGTGAAGACAATTGAGGGGCTACTTGAATAGGAAAAGTAGCGGCTCCGGTCTAGAAAACTGACATTAACGGCCGTAGGAATTCGTTGCGCTGACCACGCGATACCCTCTACCCGATAAAGTTGGCACTAACTTCGCTGACAAGCGGCGGTCGCTCGGTCGGTATAGTTCGCTTGCGAGCTAAAGCCACAGAGTTTTTCTTAACGCTTAAAGTTTCAGTTACGCTATTCTAGACAGTTATACTGTTGCTTATTTTGCTTTGAAGTGAATGGTAGCAAAAATTTTCTAAATTGGATCTGCCCTAAACTTCTTCTTAAATGTAATTTCGTTTTTGCACTGCCATTCTGTTACATGTTCGAAGGATTTATTACTCATCTTTATATTTTGATTTTATCTTGGTCTCTAGTGAAGAGAATGGAGCCCGAGGGGTTTCTTTTCTATATTTACGTATAGATCAAGGGTATCCAAACTACGGTCCGCGAAAGAATTGTGCAGAAATGCGCCAATTGAACTAATTTTCCAATGAGTACTGGTAAAGAAAATACTTGTTCATAGATTTCAAATTCATTAATAAAGATTGTGTTTAAATATATATTGATATTCCATATTATGTTAATATTAATATTATTCACAATTTTAGATTTGAAAGAAAAATTTCGGAAGCGATTTGCTGATTTGGATGTCAGTGCTCAAGGAATTAGATTGTTTCAAAATCCATTTGACTGTGATGTTGCAGATGTCCCAAGTCAAATTAAAATGGAAATTATTGAACTTCAGGAAAATTATGATATTAAAGACAAATACAAGGAAGGAAATTTGATCGAATTTTATAACTTTCTGAACTCTGAGGAATTTCCAAATTTAAAGAAATTTGCTTGTAAATTTATCGCCATTTTTTTGACGACATATCTGTGTGAACAAACTTTTTCCCAGATGAAGTACATCAAGTCGAAATACATGGCAAATTTATCCGATGAACATTTAAAGTCGCTACTTGTGATTAGCGTTTCAAAATTTGAACCTCAATTTAATCAGATTTTAAGAATGCAAAAAGAGTTCCATCATTCACATTAATTGTTTTATTATAATTTGTGATGAAAATATGAGCATTTGCTGCTACTGTCTGTTGTCATCAATATACGATAATTTATTCTCACGTACTTTGTATTTAGTTTATGAAATTCTGTGCTTTCAATAAAACTCATATACCTAGAGTTATTAATTTCTCATTTTATCCGGCCCGTTGAAAGTGCTGAATTACCTAATGTGGCCCGCGTTTCAAAAAGTTTGGAGACCCCTGGTCTAGATCATACTCCTTGATAGCGTCGAGGGGAGCTTCTGTTATTTCCTTTCTGGCATTTATGTATTTACTCAAACAGTCAACATAATTAGCATAGATTAGAAGCTGATCAATTGCAATCCCTACTGATTTTCCTGAACATTCCTAATGACACATTATAAAGCCAAGTTGAAGAGCAGTGGCAATAAATTCAGACACAAATAAATCATAATGTTTATCACATGAGAATTTACTACAATTTTCTTTAGACACGTTTTTCTTAGCCTAATGGTTCCATGGCCATGTCTATTTATATCTTGAGTGTATAATATATCCAGTTTTCAACCCTGTCACGTTCCTATTAGTTCCTATTCTTATAATTTGATAATGCTAGTGAACTTTTGCATTTATATACAATAATCAGGTTTACACTGAGTAATATTATAAATTTTTGGTGATCAGAATGGGATGTCAATGAAATTGGCACAAATTAATTTAGTGATATTGGCCTGAGGAAACTACAATATGCTACAAGATTTCATTAGTTCAGTCACTGATAACTAATTTAAATGTGATTTTATATCTGTCAACATGCCACACCATATACATAAGTGTACTATACTCTTTATGATTATGCCACAATTAATTATTAACACTTATGTTAGTTTAATGTAGGAATTTTAAACAAATTAGAAAGGTATTTACAAGTAAATCTGTTGGGACTGGGCCGAGGCCTCGCAACAGTTGAGAAGCACCGCCTTAGAGGACCTAAGCTCTATTTGGTACTCTTGCCAACAGCACTCAGCACACGGGGAGTGTACAGCCCCGTTTAAACAGTGCATATCCTCTATAGTGTTTCAGAACATAACAGAAATTCTGCCGAAAGCAATGGCTAGACGTAAACCAATCTCAAATGCATATGCATCAAATTGTACTTCGGCACAACACTCCTTGTCGGAAATCACCTTCCCCTTTGCTGCTACATCGTCTCTGTCTCCAGAGAGAAAAGGCTAAATATTTCAAGATTTAACGGAGTAAAATGCATGCTATTTGGAAGATACACCTCTAGTAGAATTTTGAACATTTCTTACAGCTCGAAAGTAGGCCCTGGCTTTTGAAAAAAAAAATCGATTTATCAGTGACACAATACACTAAACGTACAACTCCACAGAGCGAATCTGTCTGTTCGGCAATCACGAACGATCACGAACTCCCAACAGCACTGTACTTACTGCTTACTGCGACACAGGAACGTCCGTTTAGGGGGTTACTGCCCTGTCTTGCAAGCTTGCATTATCTCTGTTTTAAAGTTGATCAGCTTGAGTGTTTGCGCCCGCGTATTATGTATTTTATTCAACGATTGAAACGTTCCATTCACTGAACACATTGCTACAATGTTGTAATAAAGTCACTGTAGTCTCAGTCTCACCTTCTAACGTGAAACAACTGATTACTGAAAATTCTTTTGTTTTCTTCCTGAGGAGCCATGTCAGGACTATCGATAACCTAACAACCGAGCATCACTGTGCGCTACTGCACAACCGTACTTGCTACACACATTAAACGGTGCCTGCACAAGATGGCAGTACATAACATTTCCCTATTCCATTGTTTTATCTTCCTTACTAAGTGGCCCCCATATTATAAATGTATCTTACAGATCAACAGCCGCAGTGAAGCCACTGTAAATGTTATGAAATATTAAAAAGAGAAAAACCTAATTTCAGTACATACTATACGCAATTCGACGCAGGGCTACTCTAAATCTTGAACAATTACATTTCTTACGTATTTCTTTCCTTCTTCATTTCAATGTCCGCAGCTACACAAAAAGTACCCACTGCACAGAGGCGCTCCAAGGTCATTCTACCAAGATGACAGAGGACACCTGGTAGGTCTCACACCTGCAGCTGACCCTTTGGCGATCTTCAAGAAGAATTCAGCCTTTACCAAACCGTTGCACGAAATACTGGACAATCATATTACGCTGCTGTAACTGCATAAACAAAAATGTTTACCAGCACTCCAGGAAATGGATCTCCAGAGGATGTGAAAATATATATTTTTTTAATTTCAATCATGAAAAAGGATTGCCCTGTGGTTGAATGTTTTAATTTCGACAGAGAGTCATCGCTTTTCGGTGAATAAATGCTAACATATTTCTTTAGAATACCATTTATTTCTTAAAATATCCATAAATATACAAGTTCATTATTTGTACCATTTTACATGACACTACATACATGAATAATATTTACACTCAGGTTTCAGTTAAGTACTCTCCTTATAACATGAGCAGGAATACACTATTATAATATTATTTCTGTACTTATCTTTGTTATAAGTCATTGCCCTACAGTGTGGATTATAATGTAAACTTTGCTAAAACAAATATATCAGCATTATATTTTGTCTTATACTTATATTATCATGTTCTAATTTTTCAGAGTTAAGTAACCAAATTTAAATTATACAGCTGGTATAATGATCACTTTGCTCAAGAGTTCCTCTGGCATTTACAGGTAAACGAACATATTTGCATTTCCATGGATAGTTTATTCAAGTGGCCTGTCCCTAATAATACTTTAAATGTAATAAAACTATATCTGTGATATTCTATATTGCATTATATTTATTCGTTAAAAATTTTGTGCTCATGCCTAACAGTGGACGTCTTGCGGCAAGCTGTATGACATACAGTCTATTTAGATATTGAAAGTCCAAGATTTATTAAATTTGCATGTCATGCGCAACATCTTAAAAGTTTTGATCTTCTGTTGGTACCAAATGTTTTTATTGTTATTAAAACAGTAAGTCTAGGGTAATATTGACATTTTCTGTAATTCAAGTGAAATTTCTAATTTCAAGAAATATCCAAAGAAACTAGGATGGTTAGCTTTTCCAAATACTTACTAATAATGTCCACCAAGTACATGAATTGACACCGTTTTCTATTCCATCCATTGTTTGTGCTTGGAGAAACTTCAGAGTAAACAAACCTAACTATGTCACTGGTCTATGCATATGTCCTTTGCATAGAACTAATTTTAATAACTAGTTATGCAGTTTTTGTCCAAACATTCTCTGCAACTGTTTGGACTTTCATCAAAATTTAAAACCGATTTAAAGAACTGGGAAGTGAGGCAAATGAAGAACATTTTCATATTCCAAACTAAAAGCCAAAGGTCAGATTGGTCTCCATGGTTAATATGTTTGAACCATTATTAGAACCAGTTTATTTGCAATAAAATTCCAGAGACAAGCCACAAGAATATAACGCACGCACACACCCAAGATATGGGGGAGTGGAGAGTGAGGGCCAGTTCATTAAAGCAGACCATGAGTAGAATTAAGTCTGTTTACAGATAACAGACTTTGGGATTTAGTGCAGTGATTTTGGTAGTGTGGGGCTTCTGTTTCTTATCATTCTTGTAATGGCCACTAATGCCAATGCAGGACCAATAAGTCCTTGCATTTTAACCTGAATCAACTGCAAAGCAAACTAACTCATTTCTCAGATTCTAAAAAATTGTTATATTCAAAAGAATAAAAGATACTCTCCTTTTAGTTGTCTATTCATAAAAACAAGAGCGAAAATACCGAAACATGAAGCTTGTCACTATATATGCAACAACTGCAAGGTATATTTAAAATAGGAATAAAGATTTTAATAAGAAGACCCAGCACAGATACACACACACAGAAATGATTGGTGCCTTATGAAAAGCTTTAAGATGAACTTACTTTTGAACTGGTCCTTACCTAGCTCCACAAAAATCAATTTTACACTAGCCACACTAAAATGAAGACAAAAAAATAGTTTTCTCATTACTGAACCATTAATTACGTCTTAACATTTCATATGAAGAAATTTCGCTGAATACATTTTCTTTCTCAGCTGGGTCTGAGATGCTGAAATATATTAACTACTCTGCACCAGCATGAGATACACTTTTTAAATATAAATACTGAGTTAAAATTGTTTGCTTAGTAAAAGTACCTAATTTTAAATGCTGACGAATTATATCTAAGGTTGATGTTAAATATTGAGAATTGACAAAACGCCACTCCTCCAATTTCCAACCCCTACTCTCCCCTCCTAAGTATAACCTCCCATGGTTGCAAATCATTTTGTCTTGAGCTTACTACAATTAATATCTTCAAATTGTAATGTTATGTGTTCCAAAAATCGTGATTGCTTTGTTATATAATACAATATAATATGATGATAGTAATATGTTTAATGCCTGCATGTTATCTCCTACAAAGCTATGAACTTGTCCACACTACTTAATGTTATCTTTGAGATTCATTCTCAGCACACATTCATACCATTATAATTCAGTAAACTAAGTTGCACACACACACACATCACATGTTTTTTAGAAGTGACTCGCGGGGTATCTGTCAGAAGTTTTGAAAGGTGGAAGAATTTTAAACTGATCTGCCCACGATAATTATTTTTTCTTAAATGAGAACGATCTACTTTGCTTAATATACTTGAGCTATACCCTGAGAACTCCGAATATTAAGATACGAACAAGCTCTGCAACATTTTACGGCTATAGGTTTTAAGGCTTTGCAGTGCAGGCAAAGTTAAAAGTTATCTGCACTATGATAAAGATGTGGTACACCTGTGGCATGACATGTTGTCAGTACATATTTGTGATAACTAGATGATTCTGTAGTTGAAGTAGCAAACACAGGGGTTTAACAGAAGTTAAATTTTGCCTCCTGAAACATACATATTCATTAAGGCATGAAATCAATTCAAATGAATTATTCTTCAATCTCTTTGCCACACCAATTAATTTACACACGTAATTCCAAGGAACATAGTCTCTCATATAATGAAATTAACTAAAATGCACATTATTCCATGGAAACTTCCAACTGAGTCATACTCTTGAATCTACCTGTAAAAGCCTGATAATCTACATGAAGGTTCTAATATCTTTTTCTGTAACTGTTCTGTGAGACTAGGATAATCTACATGAAAATTCCACACTCAAAACATTTGCAATGAAAAATCAATGAAACAAAATCAGACCAATTAGTGTTTGCTATGACAGGCACTATGTTGAAGTCTAATACTAAAAATTGCAATATAATTCCATTTATCAAATTGAACACAAAACTAGATTCAATTTCCAGAGACACTATATGTGCCATGTGTGAGGATTGACCACTTCCACTGTCATGCCACAGATTTTATCGTCTTGCACATGGGTTCAATGTTTGCCACCTCTGGACATGCACATACATTTTTCTAGAGTCATGTGACTTTTCCACTTGCACCCATTGTAGTATCAACACAATATACCTAGGCAGGATCAAAGAATGACCTAAGAAAAATCTCTGAATATGTCCTTTTACAAATCTACAACCCTGTTTGACAAGATAATATAACCCCCACTTCAAAATGGTTGATGGTCTTATTATATTAGTTTAGGAACTGTGCTGTAATGAAGCATACCGTACAGTATTGAAAATTTCTTCGGTAGTTTCCAGGATGCATCATGACATGCTATTCTTTTGGTAATTAAACTACCCAGACACTAAAACTAAGTCGGCCATTATGAGTCACATCCATGACATGCATAATGAAACCCCTCTTGCTATCACAAAACAACCGCTTTGAAATGGTGGCCCAAGAAGCTGTCAATACAGGGTGGGACTCGATACAGAGGTTACATTTATTCTACTAGTTATTTCTAAAGCGAAAGAATGTAAATAGTTAGTAGAAAATAGTAGTTTTTTTAAAAAAGAAGTATTTCTCATTCTTAGAAGAGATATCATCCGTCCAGTAAGAATCTGCACAATGCATCTTCAAATACTCCTACACTAGAAGCACATTATTGACTCTGTAATGGACCAATGTCAGTCAACATTGGATTCAGATTGGACCAATAGTAAGTTATATGAAGATGGTCATGTTTATATAGGCTCAACTATCACATCTGAAACATCCCTTATGCATGTGAATTCCGATACAAAATGCATAATATCTTGTCTGTAACTGCTAATAATCACAGACCAGGTACGCTCTGAAGAAAAGGTAAAACAATGACACAAATCGATCACGACAATTTTTCAAACCTGTCACTGTCACTTTATGACTTGTGACTGACATATTTATCAGATTTTGTCATGTTTCCAGCCCATGAATATATCCATTCTATGGGCCATCAACACTACAATATACTTCAGTTGGGTATGTAAGTGCCAAGAGAGGCAGACAAAGAGAGAAAACATTTCCACCCTTTTCCCCAGTCTAATGAATTTCTTGTTTACGTTCTTCAAAAATTAATATACAGACAATTTCCCTTTATTTGTAATTATACTAACAGCCTTCTATTAACTACACACCTACAGAGACAAGAGGGATGCCATATAATTAATCTGTGCTGTGCTCTAAACCTGTTCAAATACACATTTGCTTCATATAAGCAAAACTTAGTAAACATTACCGAGAGTAATGCTCCTCGTTCACTAGCACTGTCTGTGACCATAAAGGAATGTTTTTCATTGATTTAGTGGTATAATGAAATTTGTCTGTGTTATCATATTGTTTCAAAAGTCAAGCTGCATCACAATCACCTTACCCTGTTCGCACACATATATGTAGCAACTGCAGCTGTCACACACAACAAAACATACCGAAATGACATTCTGTCATTTCCATCAGAAGTGCACTTCCAGAATCACTGTTGACTTGGACCACTGTTTCACCTTTTCACGATTTTAATTCTGAAAACTTGAATACATAGGCCAACAGATTTTCCTGTTTTGAATGTTTGTTCTAATATTTTAGTCAGTTAAAACAAAGAGAAGTATGATTTATGTATACATTATCAGGATAGTCTTTAAACATATAACGTCCTGCAAATAAATTACATTAATTTCATCATTAAAATCCCTCCAAAATCATCTAAATAAAATCTAAACTTACACAAATAAATTCACATCAACTACATTTTTCCTGGACCTCAAGTGAGATTATAAATTGTACTGAACAGACTACATATGTGCTGATTTAAACAGAAGGACTGGTGTCCGCATTATACAAATGCTGCAGTCTAATGCCACATTTAAAAGTTCCTATTAAAATAGTCAATGGGATTACAGTTTTTCTACAGTTTCTTATTGAAGTTAGAAGGACCAATGATCATCATTCTTCATACACAGGACTTCCATTTTGATTATACACAGTTTTATTATTAATAATTATAAGAAGGCCTGGGTTGTTTCATTAAGTTTGTGCTCTATTGACTATAATGATAGAAAAAAAAGTGGGATATGGCGCAAGAGATATGGATACAGTCATAACTATTCATATTATGGTTTCAGAGTCTCATTGCCAGAGACAGCACAGGAGAGAGAGACAGAGAGATGCTCACCTCGTGTTTACAATCCACTAATGTAGCAATTGTTTTGTAAAGACTATTTAATTATGCTATGTAGGAACGGTTGAGCATTTTATTTATTTATATAATGGGTCATATTCACTTGTGCTGTATTATAATCACACACATCCACCTTCATGTTCAGATTACATTCATACTACCTGCACAGATTTCAAGGAATATGTGAGATTATTATTATTATTATTCAGAAAAACAAATATATAACTAATAGTAATAAAACTGTCCAGCGTCAATCAATATACAGTTTCCGTCTGTATAAGGGCACTGAGCAATATCTTGTTTACTGAACAAGATTCCTCAAAAGAGTACAATCTTCTTAGATGTGCCACCATGTATTCTGGTTGTTGTCAGGTAGTAGAGCTTTTCTTGCTCTTGCTTCTTACTGACTGCCTGCCCGTCTGGTTCACTCCACGACCCTCGAGACAGAAACGTCGGTAAACGTCTAACAGACTACAAGGCACCACATTCCAAAAGATGGCACTCTCCATAGTTACTACCATGAGAACATCGAATTTAAGATTCATCACACTTCGGATGTTTTATGACATGAGATCTAATGGAACACTATTGTTTTCAGTTTTGTTAAATAAATGTGTATATATAAAAACAATACATTTAACTGGAGCTTAGATTAGACTATATTACATGAGGTTTGTTATATGCATTGCATGGAACAAGTTTCATCAAACTTAGGCCTAATGCTAAAACTGTACTTTTGTGTAGCAGCACTACATCCGAGGTGCTGCATAGTATTGCGTACTTTCACCCCCACCCCCCAAAGTTAAATTGTAACGGGATACCTCTATGCAAGCTGATCTTAACCATACACAACAAATTATTGTTGGGGTAATGACTGAATGTTGAAAACAGTACAAAAATATTACACTTCGGAAGCCACATCCAGAGATGCCATATATTATCGCACAATGGCACCTCTCCCAGATGTAATGAGCTGCCTGTAGGCAAGCTGTTCTTAACCCTACCCAACAAATCATTGTAGGTGTAATGACTGGACTTTAAAACCAATACAAACATATAATATTTTGGTGGCATTGTTTAAACATACAGGGTACTGACATAAAAAGCAATCCCACTCCTTCCCCAAGATTGGAAAGACCCTAATGAAACCATGTAAGTGAACTGTAACGTTCTTTTATATTAATCACAATGAAAAGGTAGCATTTCAATACATGTAGTTCATACATTATGTATGCAGGTCTGATCAATATAACATTTCTTCAAATTATTAAAATATATCTCAAGAAGTATAATCCAGCCCACATAAGTAATTTGGACACCACTCAAACAAATTACAAAGAAACGGTTCCATTATAATATTAAATCAAATCTAAACCATATTATAATTGTTGTTGGTTTGTATATTAATTACCTTTTTATGAAACAAAACTAACACAAATGGAGATTCAAACCATACATAGAAAACACAATATTAAGCTTTCTGGAGGAATAAATATAAAGTGAGAGTCGATATTCCATTAATAAAAAAAGATAAAAACGTTGGAGCAATCACGAAACTGTAGCGATTCTATTTTGTCTGAAATCAGGAGAAGAGCAACAAAATGACAAGACAGAGGAACGGAAAGCGTCTAGAGACGGCGTCACCTTGCAGTGGACAGAAGCAGCTAAGGCGATGGCAAGGAGTCTGACAGCACCTCCGATGGCGTTCCTTCACTCGAATTGATGGAGAAGGCTTTATTGGGGGCTCTCCTCTGCCTCAGAACTGACGGGTCGAAATTCGGGTGGCGGCGAGCGTGTTTGCTGCAAGACAAAAAGAAATATAAGTCAGAGGACGCCAATTAACGGAAGGAAACTTCTGTGAATGCAATGGGACAATTTAGTTGCAGCATTCCCGTATTTCATAAAGGAAAAGCGTATTCAGTATTGGTATGTTTACTGTTCTGTGTTGGGTCTATGCTGACGGTGCAAATCTATTGGGAGATAACATAAACACCATAAAGAGAAACACAGAAGCTAGTACAGAGGTTGGTCTACAAGTAAACAGTGTAAATTGAGTATATGTATTATTTTTTTTATTACTTGGTGGAGAGGGGTTGAGTCCATTTGGTACTGCGGCCACTTCTGGCCTATTGTACCAGCCCCAGATGATAAGTGAGGGTGATTGTGGAGCAATTGGTGGAATGAAGATTGGCAGGGGAAACCGAAGTATTCGTAGAAAACCTGTCCCAGCGCCACTTTGTCCACCACAAATCCCACTTGACCAGACCCGGGAAGCCAGCGACTAACCGCTTGAGCTATGACGCGGCCTTGAGTATATGTAAGTCCGTCACCAGAATGCAGGGCAAAATCATAACACGCTTCTCGTCGCTGTCTAAAAGCGTACAAATTAAAGAATGCAAAATTATAGCTTTGACTGTACTTTTGTATGGGCGTGGGATTTGGTCTCTGACTTTAAGGGAGGAACATAGACTGAGGGTGTTTGAGAACAGGGTGTTGAGGAAAATATTTGGACCTAAGAGAAATGAAGTGACAGGAGGTTGGAGAAAACTGCACAATGAGGAGCTTCATAACTTGTACTCTTCTCCGAGTATAATTAGAATGATCAGTATTATTTCTTACTGAAAACCGTCATAACACAACAATCAATAATACGTGTAAGTAGCTTTAGGAGATACTTTTACTACATGTAATCTATGTCTCCATCAAATCGGACATTTACACAACGGATTCGCCCCTCAAATAGTATCAAATAGTAAATAATAACATACAACATAACAACGAGCCTCCGAACACCACATCAGCCACTGTGTATATAATATGTCCGTATAAGCATTACATATATTACGATTACAACTGCCAACTTCCAAATACCATCACATATTACAACTTTTAACTATACTTTTGACTATGTAACTGGTTATTTAAGGCTTCAACTTTTATTGTAATTTATATTTAATATTCACTCATATCATTTTATAGCATTGTATACACTTGGAAGTTTAGCACTGTATCCTGTATTTGACATGCAATTCAATAACGAAAAGTTTAATGTATCTGCCTGCTGATGGCCTTTTGAAGGCCGAAACATGAAGCAAAAGTATCTCCTAGAGCTACTTACACTTACTTGTGACGGTTTTTAGTAAGAAATAATATATGATACACAACAGGATGCATTCACTGTAAATTAGAATGATATGGGCAGGGCATCTAGCACGGATGGAGGGAAGAGGAGGAATGCACATAGGATTTTGGTGGGAAAGCCGGAAGGAAGGAGACCACTGGGAAGACCAAGAGGTAGGTGGGTGGACAATATTAAAATGGATCTTAGAGAGATAGGATGGGATTGTATGGACTGGATTGATGTGGCTTAGGATAGGGAACGCTGGAGGGCTCTTGTGAACACGGTAATGTACCTTCGGGTTCCATAAAATGCTGGTAAATTCTTGAGTAGCAGCACACCTGGCACCTTCTCGAGAAGGGATCATATCCGTGAGTGAGTGACATTAAGGAAAAAACAAGGGCTGAAGGTATCTGACAACGGGGCGCTGAAGAGGGAGGTATGAAATAATGCTTAATGTGGGGCTTCGTAACTTGCTCTTCGCCAAATATAATTAGATCGATTAATTCAAGGAGGATGAGATGGGTAGAACACGTCGTACGCACTGAAGAGGAACGCGTACAAGTTGTTATGGTAAAGACAGAAGGAAAGTGACCACAAGGAAATCAGGATATTGTCACGTATACTGATAACGGGACAAGTAATTAATGGGTTCTTATGATTGACAAATCGATTTACTGGACAATCACCAGTGACAACCATAAATATTTATAACACTTCAAAAAGTTAGTGGTTCAATAACACACAAAGTCTTCAACACTTCCAATCTGGGTGCGAATTCGGTGAGCCAGTCTACATCTAATCTCTTTGGCACAGCCGGTAGGTCTCTCCGGCATCTCATCTTCTTGAGTCTAGGAGTCTTATGTTACGACCGACGGTCAGTCGCCCAGTCTCACTTGGAATAAAGCACCCATTTGGAGCTTACGACCAGATTTTTATTACCGTCACAGAGTTGGGGGTTGTTGATGTACTCGTAGGGCGCTCTCTTAAGACGAGAGGATCGGTCTGTCGTTTACAATCGCGGTTGGCTCTCGCCAGCGCAGTAATTTTCGGTTCCGAGTCCCGTGGGACTCGTGACATTTTACAGTCTTAGGTTCGAGACTTTTCGTCGACTCGCAGGGCTACGGTGGAGGAATTCGACCCCGCCTCCACACGGGATTCATCTTCTTGGGTTCTATCTCTGTCTGAGGTATGTTTTGGTCGAACCGTATAGAGATCACCGTCTCCAAGGGTTCTTACTACGTGTATCTTGTCTTTCATTGTTGTGTCAACAATCACTACCTATCCGTTGTAACGGAAACGCGTCTGTATGCGTTGTCTGGGAATCGAAGTGACTCTGTACGCAATGCATTGCTTCTTCAGTCGTATTCGTTGCCGTGAAAACGTGTCCCAACAATTCGCCGTCCAGCAGCGCTGCCTTCTGTGTTATCACGGGAACGTGCTCAGCGAAGCCCCGCCCAGTAGATGGGCAGATTACAGATTTCAGGCGTCATGTCACAATATTAAAATGGATCTTAGAGAAACAGGATGCGGTGGTATAAACTGGATTCATCTGGCTTAAGACAGGGACCAGTGGGGGGATCTTGTGAACACCTTAATGAACGTTCGGGTTCCATAAAATACTGGAAAATTTGTCGGTAGCTAAACGACTGCCAGCATCTCAGGGACTCACCTCCATGAGTTAGTTAATTAACACAAAAATGTTTCTTACAGAAATTAGTATGATTACACAGAATTCCACAATTGCAACCATACTGATTTAGACCTATCAATTATCGTCACCAAACTAAACTCTAATAAGATCTACAAATTTCACTCGATCGTCACTGTGATTTACATTCTGAAAAAAAAAAAGACAAAACGTTCATATATACGAACATCTACAACATATAATTTCGTGAAGAAAGCAGTCTTCTGGGATTTGGCACCGTGTATATGTGGTGTTAACCGACGTTTCGGAGGAACGTATCGCCTCCATCTTCAGGGTAGAAGAAAAAGTATAAGAAATCTGCAAGCGACAAGACCGTGAGAACGGTAAAAGCAGTCTGCTCGGTACCCTCGGTACCCACTGAAGAAAAGGCTGGTTGAGCCCGAGGGCCGGCATGGACACCATGGAGAAGAGAAATATTTCTTGTCATTGCGGGGAATCGAATCCTGGTCGTCCGGCCAGTACCTTCGTCGCTGAGAGGAAAATTATGCCCTATTATTACAGTTGGCCTTTTCATCCGTACTGCATTCGACGGCAGATATTTTGAAAAGTTAAAGCACGCCTGGTCACCACCCGTAACCCAAAAGAAACTGACAGGGACAGTAACGTACAATTGACTGAACAACTGCAACAGTCCTGTTTCATTCTGTTATCGAGAAAAATGCGTTGTCACGTTTTACTGCACCAATCTTGACCGACTTAATCTACTGCTAATACTCGGGACCAATAAAACGCCAAGACGAGGCGACACTTCACTGTCGGGCAGCGTGCAACATTTCTTTTAATTAAAAATGTGTAACGCCAAATTTATCTTCTGATAAAATCTATAAGAAGGGGGGGGGGGAAGACTAAACAGAACTGGAAACTTAACACTTCAGAATAACTCACACTATGTTGAAAAGTATCCCTGGGCTTGATGTTCTGACAGCGGTGTCAATGAAGAGTCCTATCTCCAGGCCTGTAATGCCGTGTAGTCCAGTAGAAGTTCATAGAATTTTCTGAGGAACACACAAGGGTGGGCCAAGACTGATGGCTACATGCTCGGCTCACTTTTATACCCTGAAGACAGAGGCAGTCTACCGGACTACGCAGTGTTACAGCCCAAAAGACCTGAGGAAACTGCGAACGCAGATACCGGACGTAACTTCTGACTGTGCAAGCACAGCAGCAGGGCTATCCTACTGTGCAGGCCGATACTCGACGTAAACTTCTGACTGTGCAAGCACAGCAGCAGGCTATCCTACTGTGCAGGCCAATACTCGACGTAAACTTCTGACTGTGCAAGCATAGCAGCAGGGCTAGCCTACTGTGCACGCCGATACTCGACGTAAACTTCTGACTGTGCAGGCTGATACTCGACGTAAACTTCTGACTGTGCAAGCATAGCAGCAGGGCTAGCCTACTGTGCACGCCGATACTCGACGTAAACTTCTGACTGTGCAGGCTGATACTCGACGTAAACTTCTGACTGTGCAAGCATAGCAGCAGGGCTATCCTGCTGTGCAGGCCGATACTCGACGTAAACTTCCGACTGTGCAAGCATAGCAACAGGCTATCCTACTGTGCAGGCCGATACTCGACGTAAACTTCTGACTGTGCAAGCATAGCAGCAAGGCTATCTTACTGTGCAGGCCGATAATCGACGTAAACTTCTGACCGTGCAAGCACAGCAGCAGGGCTATCCTACTGTGCAGGCCGATAATCGACATAAACTTCTGACCGTGCAAGCATAGCAGCAGGGCTATCCTACTGTGGAGGCCGATACTCGACGTAAACTTTTGATCGTGCAAGCATAGCAGCAGGGCTATCCTACTGTGCAGGCATAGCAGCAGGGCTATCCTACTTTGCAGGCCGATACGCGACGTAAACTTCTGACTGTGCAAGAATAGCAGCAGGGCTATCCTACTGTGCAGGCCGATACTCGACGTAAACTTCTGACCGTGCAAGCACAGCAGCAGGGCTATCCTACTGTGC